AAAAATAGGTTACAACACGTTGAAACTTTGTGCCCCGTAATATGTAATAAAATCATCCAAATTTCTATTGCCCTAACCGATCATGTATTAATTAATTCGCGTTATAATTAACCAATCACAACTCGTGTTTCATAAGTTAAATTTGGCGCCCTCTAAAAATTAACCAATCACGGTTTGTGTTACATACCTTAAATTTGGCGCCCTTAAAAAAAATTTGATGTTTTTTGCTGTCCGGTACTGTACAATTTTAGATTAGTATTTTGGGTAAAATCCATAATATCGTTCTTTAATACTTGTGACAAATTCCACTATTAGCACTTTTAATGTCATCAAGATTTCATATATTTTATGAAGACCGTAGTGAATATCGAATTTCATATAGTATTGTTACCAAACTTATAAATTAAATTGGTCCAAAAATCTTCTATAAAAGGGGTAGATGAAAGTTTCCTCTTCTAAAATTGTGTGGCATATCCGTAATTAAAACAGTTAGCTAAATTAGTACGAAAGACTGATATTAATGATAAATCAACCGAATCTGAATCAAGTAGATTATTATTGTGAACAACAAGCTTTGTCAGCATTACCCATGCAATACATGAACATTATCAGGTTTAAGATAAATTTTGTCTTTGTCACGAAACAACGCCCATGTGCGTATTTTAAATAAAACACATATACTAAATATAGCATAGGTGGGTGTTATTTTGCGAAAATACGGTGCAATTTTGGGACAGGAGTGTATATCTGTTCCGCGTTGTTACGGAATTTAGATAAATCTGTAAAAGCGAAAAAAAAGATTGAAAGAAAAAATGAAAATTAATTAAAATAAAATAAATTTAAGAAATAAAAAGCGAATAAAAATAAATTATTATATGCTCTCTTAACGTTAATTGCTAGCTAAATTTTCATACATTAAACGAAATATTAAAACAAAATAAAAATTAAGAAATATAAAGCGAATAAAAATGATTAAATGCTCGCCTAACGTAAATTGCTAGCTAAATTTTCATACATTAAACAAATACATTCAAATATTCATATATAATTTAACCATGAAATTAAAAGCTTTTGCATTTTCCACGTAGAACACATCCGCATTTTCTTGAACATAATGAATTCCTTTTTCTGCAAGAACATGATTTGGTGCCGCAATTTGTTTTCGGCAACGACAGATTTCTTGTCGGGTGTCTTGACTTGAATCAATATTAATGTTACAAAAATTATATAATTAATATTATGTTTTTTTTTATTACTTAAGGAAAATATTTGGCGGGTACTCACTAATACTATGAGCTTATCTTCTATTGTTACAAGTTGGGAGTGTAAGATTTTGTCTGGCATCTGCTTCTCTTAACGTTTAGTGGTACAACGTTGAGATGGGGTGTCCAATGTACTATGTAGATCAAATATATGCATAGTCTCATAGTAAAAATTTATTAGTAATTTTTTTTGTGTAACGAAGACGATGATTTATATTAAAAACCTAAATTTCGACAAATTTTTATCAAATTCATTATAAATTTAATATGTTTTTTAAAAAAGCGCTCTTTTTTTCTAAAATATAGGGTCTGCTGAGCAATTGAGTAAAATTTTTAAAGAAGTTAATATGTAATTTTTTGAAGAGATACAGTTTGAATTCCAGTAAATTTTAATAGAGTTTTTATAAGAAGATGTTAATATCAAACTGTATCTCCTCAATATTTTACATATTAATTTCTTTAAAAATTTTATTCAATTGCTCAGTAGACTCTATATTTTAGACAAAAAAGATGCTTTTTTGAAAATTTTTTTTAATTGAAATTTTATTTAGTTTTAAATTTTAGAAAATGTTTAATATTGGTTCTATCATCACGCATGTGACAATTTACTAACAACATATATCTGCATCTAATTAAATGCTAAACCTAACCCTATGTGACGCTGGTTTATTGTACTACAACTTGCGTCACAATTAATTAATGATCAACATGTACAAGCCACTCTAACAAATAATAATAAAACAACCCATCTTTTAATTCTATTAAAAATCCTATTTTTCAAAATTGCTGTCGCATAAAATTGCAAATTTGCACAACTTAAATTTTCAATATACAGTATTTATTTAATAAAAATAAAAATTGGCAATTTAAAAATCTAGATTTATACCTATCCAAGCGCTTGTTATCTGCTTTTTCGGGTTCTTGATCCCTTTAAATATCGTCCAATTCAACCCTTTTAATATTATCTAATTCAGATGCTTGTTCTTTTTTTATAATATTGTCCAATTTAGACGCTTGTTCTTTTTCCTTAATATTGTCTAATTTAGATGCTTGTTCCTTTTCCGCATTGATATATCTACGATATTGTTTATGCATTTCGATGTCGTCTTTTATCTTTTTTTGTTGTCAAGCTTTAAATGCTTTTAAATAAGAATTATATGGACGAGAGCGTCTTGGTGGCATTTTAATGATAAAAAGATGTAATTTATTAAAGTATTAGGTGTTATTGGCATGGATTATGATGCAAATTGAAGAATTAAGTGTTATTATATAGGAAAATATCATGTAATAAATCGATATATAATTAAATGTAAAGTTATTTTATTTGATATATTTTAATTAATAATAAATACAGTACAAATAAATAAATACACACATATTAATTATTTGAATATCGACCTATAAACCTCTTTAATTCTTGAAGAAATAATGAATGAAAACTGATTACTAAGCCCGTTATAGCAAAATTTTGACATATTAAAATTATATATAAACGAACAAAAGCCAATTACTCAAATTGTAATAGTTGAATTTGAACAAAGCTAATTATTCAAAATCGAATTAGCTAAATTTTGACTCTAAATTCATAATCATGTTTCAATTAAAAAAAAGCGGTTCCCAAAACTTCGAACAAAAAAAATTATTCAAAATCGAATTAGTTCATTTTAAAATAGTACCTCAATTAAATCTTAAACAAAAGTAAAATCATACTTCAATTAAACCTCAAACAGAAGTAATTATTCAAAATCAAATTAGTTCGAATTCATACTTCAATTAAACCTCAAACAAAAAGA